TACAAATGTATAATATATTGGCGATACAGGTATTTTTTTACAAACATGAAAGCAATGATAAATCATTGCATTTAAAAATTAATTATGTGTTTGGCTCTTATAGTAACACTAAAATAGATTTCTTCAATATTACATTAACGAATTTTGTAAGTTATTTTTCCTCGCAATCAGGAAAACTACCGATAAAATCAAAAAATATGGAAAATGTCATTATACATAAAATATACGTATATATCTACAAATACCAACTTAAAATTAATCTAAATATTTTTAAAGTAGAAAGTTAAAATTACTTGCACTAAATTAACTTTTATGTTAGACGTAAGATAAGCCGGTGATCGCCGATTATCATCGTTAATGATGTAGATACCGTGGGTGTGTTGAAAAAAATGCAATTATAGTTTATCTTATCCGTTCATTATCGCGTCGATGAAAACATTTTTCTAGTTTATGTTCTGTGAAGTTATTCTACTCTTATTTAGTTGWGTTTATGATTCTATCGTTTTWAAACGTGTTCAACCGTATTCGTAAATTTTTATTACAATTGCTAGTAAACGAAAAAGATTAATGATTCTCTGAGTTWTTTTCAAAAATTTACACYCCACCACACCACTCTGAATAGCGGACATCTCTAAATAACGGACAAAATTACGGCGACCAAGAGTGTCTGGTATTTAGAGGTTTCGCTGTATTACATATTTTCTATGATTTAAACTAAAATGTATGTCTACTYAATGTAGATCCCTAGGTTGCTATTAATTATTAATGATGATCATTATGCTACGCCCAAGGCACGGTAAAACGACGACGACGTTTGCAGTTTGTGCAATTATTGATCTAGACCTTAGGGTATTTCAAGCATTGTGTCTAAAAAATAAAATGCATCTACAACACTGAGTAGTGGATAGTGGGTTTATTCGTTGGATTAAATATTTATTTCAAGTCTAAAAAGTAAATTTAGTACCAAAAAAATATGAAAACCATCTTACTTTAAACATCGACTCTAAGGATAAAACTCTTGATGTAGAGCCCCTCGACTCCGATGTTGAACTGAAAATATTGTAGTTTATTAAAAATGAACGCATGGAAAGAAATATGTTTTTTGTTCATATCTACCATGCGTATTGAAATTTTAGAACCATTATTCAACCACGTTGTCCTCCCCTGAGGTCGATTTTGGCAATTGCCATAGTATAATATAAATAATGATAAAATAATATATTACGTCAATATGATGAATCCACAGATATTATATTATAATACAATTGTATATATCAAAGAGTTAAGTGTTTACAATTTGTTAATCGAAATGTGATACGACAATAAAAATATTAATTTTAATTTTAATTAAAACTATATTAAGTACCTACTTTGAGATATTGTTATCTATAGATAGAAACCCCAATGGGCCCAATGTAACATAAAATATGTCCACATATTTTAAATAATTATTCCAGTTAAGAATGAAATTTAAATGGTAATGATTTTGTGCATAARAAGAAATAATGGAAGTTGATGCTGTTGCGAGTTCTACAAAAATAGTGTTTTGAGATTTATTGATTTTCTCCTAAAAAAAGTGGTGGTAAGAATTGAAAAATATTTTTCGCGCCATATTGTACACAATAATTCGATTGTCAGCTGCTGTAAGCCTGTACATAATGCAATATTGTCTTCCATGAAAATTGATTAAACTTATCGTGTTATATTAGTACCCCACTGCGCCATGTCTAGCCAAACTAAATTATACCATCCATAATACAACAAACTGTCTATACTGTCTATAATACACAACATTTMAATTTCTTAGTTTCTCACTAGGTAGTTACCATAGGTTCATTTCTTACACTTGTGTAATTCAAATATTCTTAGTTCCTACTGAGTTGTTTGAGATAGAAATTTGACGTTTGACTATCAATTTTGCTGCTACATATAATCGATTTATTAATATGAATTTAAATATCCATAGCTTAATAATTTTACTATTGTGGCCTCAAGTATGATTTGTTAGTTTTAATAATGTTAGTTTTTTGTTTAACTAAATACCTATAAGGTAGGTTGTTTATTTACTTTCAAACCGTTCATTGAAATAGGCTTACCTATTGCAAATAATTGATTTTCATTGGCTAAACATGTTATTTATCTTATAATATCATATTTATGCAACAGGCGTAAAAATGATAGAATACTCAGATCCAGAATTTGAAAAGAAGCTGATGCTCCTAAAAGACACTCAAGATGCTATTCAATCATTGTCTGCATGGTGCCTTAAGCGACATGAATATTACAAAAGCATAATCAGTATCTGGCTAAAGGCTATTCGGAAGGTGAAGATCGAGAAACGTTTGACTTTGTTTTATTTAGCCAATGATGTCATACAATATAGTAAGAAAAAGAATTACAAGTTTATTGATGGATGGGCAACTGCTATTCAAAAAGCTATACCTTATGTCAGGTAAGTTATACTAGTTTAAAATTTTACTCCCCCCGCCTTCATTGTGTGTATGCTACTGTATTATYTTAGGAAAAAGATTTTTGTTGCACTTTAAGATTCAGGTGGTTTTCATTGTTTGAACCAGGCAGTTACTGTGTTTAAGGATTACTAAAAATTTTGAATTGAAGATTCCATAGAGTTATTATTGTTATATTGTCTAGTACCATTGCTAATTAAAATGTTTGGGAACTTGAAATATACCTATATCATACATTTTATGCTTAAAATACAATTAAACRTCAAAAATGTTCCTATATTTYATATTTTATTTTCACTGCTTTTTTAGAGATGAAAAAATACAATCTAAAATTTCAAGAATTATTAAAATTTGGGAAGAACGTGGTGTTTATGATGATAGTTATTTAGCTGATTTAATTGGTTTATTAACTACACCTATTCAGAAGTTAAAATTAGCTGATCCTGTACAAGAGTTTCAAGTGAGTACTTTTTGAAATATTCCATAATAATAATTTAACAAATTAATCAACATCACATTGGTTAAAAAAATATATTAAAAACTTTTTATATAAATATAATATATTTATATTTATAATAATGGTATATTCAAAAATAGTGACTCATAAATATTCACATTAAGTGGAGTACAAAAAATTTATAATTCCAACCTATATATATTTTATATTTATTTTATTTTATTCTGTTTTTATATTATATTGTTGATATATTAGTCTATTATTAGCTGACTTGAAAGCACATGGGTGGCAATTAATAGACAATGTCTGTTGAAATGTTATTGTTTTGACGATCAACTGCATGGCATGATAAAAATAAGTCCAGTACACATGTATTATTAACCATGTTCCTATTTAATATTTATACGGCCACCACAACAAATTATGTGCTGCAAATTATTTAATTATTAATAAATAGACTTTTCAATACGAAAAAATTACAAAAACTTGTTTTTATTACAGGTCATTTGCATAATTCACAATAGAAATCTAATAATTTTTATATACATTTTTTTAGTGGTTCTTGTGTTCMTATGCACTATACTGCTAGCCGCCAATGGTATTTAACAAATTTACAACATTATTATTTGCCCATATACATTGTAATATTATACTAATGGATGATGTCATACTTAATTCTTAGATTTTTAAAATACTTTTTCTTTTGCATTAAATTTTAACAATATGTATCCTAGTGCTTTATTTGAATGCTTAATAACCTTTTACTTTAAATGGTAACTAAGTACTTAATATTTTTTAGGTTATTATGATAAATCAAAATTACTAGAACTTTTTTTATTATTATATAGATATCATTATTTAATATGTAGTATAATTTACAATAAAAAAATCTTGAACTTACATTATTTGTATTTTAAATGTGTTATGGTGTAGCACAATTTCATAGAATTTCTCATGCTCAAAATTTAATTTGAAAATTATGCTGATCTAGTGTTTATTWTTTTGACCTCGCATAAACGCACAATATAAAAATTATTCTTTATCCTTGATTTATTTAAAGTAAGTGAAAATAGAACAATAAATKAATATGTGAGAAATAGTTTTGGCGTAGCGTCGATTGTGGCCAAAATGAGAAAAAATATTTTGAAATGATTTGGCATGTGATAAAGCAAGAGGAAACAAAAGCAGTAAGAATAGTTATGAAAATGAATGTTGACGTGAAACTAGGAAGAGGAAGACAAAAATGGAGATGTTTGGATACTATTGAGAATGATATGAGAGCTGTTGGTATGTGCATAGGAGATTTGAAAAATCATGAAGTGTGGAAGTGTAGGATAAAGGTGGTTGACCATAAAAAGTTAAGAAGAAGGAGAAAAAAGAAAAAGAAGAATTGAATTTAAAGCTTGTCATAACTAGCTGTGAAAAAGATTACAATTTTAAAATTATTAAAATTCATCATACGATTTAAATACCATTAAAACCWCTTGAAATTCCCTAGATAATTTTCTCACCTTAAAATTTGAAGGTAATTGATTCACTTTATATTCAAGCTAAACAAACAAAATTAATTCTGCTAAACACAAAGTTTCTGAAGCAAATTTGGAGGCTTGGCATTCTCTAAAAACATCCATATAAATAAATACTTTTGCTACATATTATAAAAATCTCAAAAATATAAATTAAAAATTCCTAATAAGAAAGATATACAAATATACAATATTTTTGTTCTTACATAAGTATAAGATTTTATATTTATTCAACTACTAAAATAGTACCATCCCGTATATAGGTAACTTAAAAACTTATCACTGTTAATTGATATTATAACATTTTGTATTAAAATAGAACCCTATATCACTTGATGTATGTTATATCTGAATGGCTTTTTTATGTACAACTGGTTTTTTAAATTCTTTACAGAATATTATATATTAATAATTATTATTTATTACCGATTTTAAAATAGTGCATACATTTTAAAAATGGAAATTAAGAATTTTTTTTAGTTTGTTAAATATGTAAAATTATAAATAAATGGTTTAACATATTGTTATGATTCTTAGATACATGCATTAGCAGTTAAAATACGTTCGTGTGTTAAATTGGAACAGATTACAGATTTAAAGATGAAAAACTTAAGAGAAGCTAATCTGCCTCTTACTAATAATGAAGCTATACAAAACATGTTAAAAGGTAATATTATTGTATAATAACAAAATTAAATGGCTTGGTGCAGTCCTAATATTTTTTTCTATTTTCTACAGAGATTTGTAATTTACATCTTTTTAAGAAACTGAATAATATATGTAATTTTTTGAAAAAAAATCTGTATATTATAATTAACAAACTATAGATTTATACTATTTAACAATGTTTAAAATTAAAATTATGATATTTTGTGTGGTATTATATTGTAAAATATAAAGTTTCTCTATTTAAAATTTATAAATAGCCATTATAAAAAAATTATATTTTTAGACCGAACACGGAGTCATGAATTTCTGAATGAATTAAATGATGGTATGTCAAAAATTGAAAGTTACATTAAATGCCTCAAACGAGAAACTATTGATCGTGCTCAAYTAATAGATTCTTTAGAAGTTGCTACATCTTATTATGAAGAACAAAATGGCGAAGTTAAAACTGTTGCTCAAGTAAAAACAATATATTTTTTTTATATAATATAACATAAAACTAAYTTAAGAAATAATTTCAGGCATATTTCAACTACACTAAAAGAGTAAAACTTCTAAAGAGTAAATTGGAGTCCTTAGTTGGTTCTATGCCAACTGATAGTCCAATGCCTTCACCTGATATTAATGCACCATCCCCTTCGACATCTTCAGTGTCTATTGAAGATTTAAACATGCATAATATCAATTATGACACTGTATTAAACTCTGATAAATATACGATGAATTCTTCGATGGAAAATAGTATTAATGATACTGATATTTATGTGCCCACTACAGTTATCAATAATATCAAGTCATATATTACTCCTGAAAAGTATACTGCTGTTCAGGG